AAATCATACTTTTCTGGACCACTATCACCTCACATTTTCATTTTTCTCCAACTTTCTTTTTTATGTTATTCGTTATATTATCAACCTGTATTTTATTTTACCCTTACATACTCTAGTATTCAGAGCTAGGCCTATAATGATTTTTTTCGCAAGCCTTATTTGGAAAGAATCAATAAAGATACAACCTCTTTCATCGAAAAGACTCTCAGAAGGCTACAGAACATGTAAGTTTTTTCTAGTACTGTACAGCTCCATTGTTCCACTACGAATTAGTGCATGCCCATGCTTTTTGTCACAGAACTATCGTTTGCGACGTACATCATGAATGTACACCGGGCACTCATGAAAGTCCGTCCTACGTCAGTTTTTAAGTGTTTAGATCACATGAAAACATAGGGTATGCCGATGTTAGCCGTTAATCAATTCACCAGTTACCTGATCTCTTGCTATTTTTGATGCACAATTCCGAGCAAGTTGAGATAACTAGACTAGGCCTCCAGTGTACTTCTTATGCAGAATATTTGCAATAGATTAAACTTGATAAAAAAAGATTTTAAAACCTTCTCCAAGGCTTTGCTAGCTTGATCACTATTTTGATCTTTTCTAACTTTCAGTCGCCCTAAAGGTTTATGCACGAAAAAAAGCCAACACAAGTTATTTTTGTCCAAAAGACAATGGATTTACCTGACTTTATCCATTGCTATTATCTGAATTAATACTTGCACAGAAGTCAAAAAAGCTTTGTTGCACACATGGCTACCTTTCCAATGGCTACCAAAACGTATTAGTTCTCATCAACGATTAGATGTTCGCAAAACTTTAAAAAGAATTTATATTCTAAAATGTATATTTTTTGTCTCTCGTTTAGAGTAGAATCTAACTCAACCAAAAATAACATAATCTCTCATCTTACTTTTCCTACACCTACATATGTAGATATGTACAGAGTTAAGTTGTTTACTATTGATTCTATTTAGCTCTCGTGCAACATGATGATATCAAAAAAGAAATTATTAAACAAGACGGTTTACAATTATTATTTAAATGTACAACATTAGAAGCAACAAATATCGACAGTAAAGATAAAAATGTAATTATCAGAAGATCCTTGACTACTCTATGGAAAATGGTATGTAATAAAGATATTGCTAGTGTCGTTAAAATTTTACACGAAGAATTTATTGAAAAGTTAAAATTAATGACAAATCCAACAGCTGCTAATATTTTATGGGAGCTAGAAGGTAAAGCTAAGATTCTTGATGAAAAGCACCATCAACACTCTCAAATAGTTCAAAACAAAACGACAAAAAAGTATGATTTAATGATTAGTTATTCTCATGCTGATAAAATTATCTGCCATAAATTATATGACTATTTAACTCAAGATAAATATAAAGTATGGATCGATAAAACACAGATGGGTGGTCGCATTGATGAAGCAATCGCTGATAGTATTGAAAATTCTCATATTATTCTTATGTGTATGTCTGATACCTATAAAGATAGTGCATGGTGTCAATCAGAAGCTACATATGCAAGAGAAATAGGTACAATACGTTTACCATTAAAATTACAATCAAAACTTCAACGTGAGGGTTGGCTAGGTTTGTGATCATTAATTAAGAACGTCGGGTAAACAATTATATTTTCTCACTCTCGCCCCCTGGTCCATCTTCGTCCGGTTTTGGGTACTCTGTCGTGCTTCATTGAGCATCCGACCAATAATAGTTTTTAATTCCCCGTAGTTTATTTTTTTCGCTACTGGTGCCTTAAACCTGCAATTATCCTACTCATTTGATCAGCTACTGTTCTTTTGGTGTCAAGATAGAGCAGTGTGACTCAGTTGACTAGTGGATAGACAACGTACTTCAAAGATACGGAGTTCGAATCCCGCCAACGGCAGTCGCGTGATAGTCTTGGATAACCTATCTAATGCTCATTGTCTTAGTATCTCTGAGCCCAGATGCGATGGTGTAATCCGATTTCAGCGGGCATTGGACTGGAGAGATGAAATTGAAGTTTAAAAAAAGTTTGCCGTATGTGTGTTAGAGAGTGCATAATGATTTATCGAAAGGAATGACTATATCTCATACATTGGGGTGTTACTTCTAGAAGAATCATGCTGAAAACTCTTGGTGAGTGGGCAAAGGTGATAAATGGAAATCATCGCTGACCGTTTTGAGAAATATGCGCAGATTGAGGAACCGAAGTAAATTCATCCCCATTGCGTTCTATCGCCATTTCACACATCGCTCATTTTTTTGCTCACCTTATACAACAATAGAGCAAAGAAAGAAGCGGTGATGAGATCAGATCAGGAACCGTTTGTAACTGACAAATGATGAGCACCAAAAAAGGATAGGTTAAACAAAATCCGTTCATGAAATATGCTCAGTTATGTAGCAGTTACACAGATTTACCAATTCACTAGTGAAGAAAAGCAATTATCATGTTGAAAACTACTAACGAGGGAACCCCCCCCGAATGTACTCTCGTTTTTTAACGAAATGTAGTGGGTTGTAGGTAATGGATCATGCTGATTTCGAATATGATATTAATTTGGGTTCATAGGCCTTCCCTAGCCGATTTCTGGGAAACCAGTTCTCCAGAAACCTTGAAAAATCCGCAAAGCTTTTTCTTAATAAGCCACGATTGTAGCCCGT